CAAAACTGAACTGAAAGTCATCGGACATATGTCCGACCAAAACTCAACGTCACCGGACATTTTGTCAGACGGCCTTGGAAAAGATATTTTAAGGCCTGTATGTCACAGAATCTGCCGTCTCCTTTCACCGCCCTTCCCATCCTCTTCCTATTCTCTTTCTTTATTTCTTTTATACACCTCATTTATCTTTTTTTTTCAACATTCTCAAGTTAAACATGTTTTCAAATTTGTGTTCAGGACATGCCCCAATGTGATCTGTTGATCATTATGGGAACTTCACTGGCTGTACAACCATTTGCCTCATTGGTTGATCACGTCTCGGAAACTACACCACGTCTTTTGATAAACCGCGAGAAATGTGGACAGCGGGCAGTAAGTAATGTTGGAAGTGTTTTGGATTGATAACGACTGAGGAGGTTCTCAAGCCCGGAAACTAATGTGCAACTGACTAGTCCAGCAGAACTATTTTTTTCTTTAATCATAGATATCAATCAAATCCTGGGTAGTCGAATGTTTTTTCTTGTAAAACTTTCTTTTAGGGTGGCCATCTCTTTATGTTTGGTGGTGGTGGACTGAGATTTGATGATCCCAAAAACTACAGGTGATGTATATTGCGGTTTTCCTACAGGTCAGAAAGCTACACCCGTAAAAACGCACAAGTTGTCACAGGTCTGCCAACAAGTTGTAACAAAGTTGTTGTCACGCCGATATATCAGGATTTGCTTGTTCCCAGTCTATTAACCGTGTTCCCAGTTGTTGTGACAAGTCTGCAACAAGTTATTATTACCTTGTTACAAGGTTGGTAACAATGATAGACTTGCTTTGTGACAAGTCTGCAACAAGTTATTATTACCTTGTTACAAGGTTGGTAACAATGATAGACTTGCTTTGTGACAAGTCTGCAACAAGTTATTATTACCATGTTACAAGGTTGGTAACAATGATAGACTTGCTTTGTGACAAGTCTGCAACAAGTTATTATTACCTTGTTACAAGGTTGGTAACAATGATAGACTTGCTTTGTGACAAGTCTGCAACAAGTTATTATTACCTTGTTACAAGGTTGGTAACAATGATAGACTTGCTTTGTGACAAGTCTGCAACAAGTTATTTTTACCTTGTTACATGGTTGGTAACAATGATGAACTTGCTACAAGTCGTTCCAACAAGACTAATACAGGCTGTTCGTAACAAGTTGCTACGAGCTGGTTGTCATCAATTTGTTAACAACTTGTTACGTGCAGACGATATCAGACTTCTTGGAACAACTTATCGCGAGTCTGTTGGCCTCATCAACTTTGTAACAAGATGATAACAACTTGTTGTCAACATTAGGAACAAGCACATCTCGTTGACAAGTGGTGAGATTTTTACGCGTGTAGCTCTAGTACAATAACGGCGTTATCTATGTATTCCAGAGATGTAGCGTGGCTAGGATCTTGTGATGATGGCTGTCTTGCATTGGCTGAACTGCTTGGCTGGAAGGTGAGAAACAGTTTGAGCGAATACCAGCTTTGTCCCTCGCATCCTGTTCGCAGGTTCATTCCTTGCCAAGTGGGGAGCGAGGCAAGGAGTGAACCCGCGAACAGGCTGCGAGGAAAACTCTGAAGTTTGGTGTAGAGACCATGGTTGAGACCAAAGCCCCCTTCAAGCAAGGATGAGAGTTGGCATTCACGTATTGTTACAGGGGACATTTCAAGCTCCAGATTAACAAAATAAAGGTTTGATAAGTGTTCCAACTATTTAACTTAAATACATGATAGTGTTGAGAAAGCATTAAGCTAACCAAGGTCACGTGACTGCCTCGTGCACTCTCATCCTCGTTTCATCGAGGCTTAATAGACCTTTCCCCTTATGAGTTAAATTTTGATCTAGATATGCCTGGGCAACAATTTCATCACAGCTTGAAAGAGCATCACAAAATTAGTAGTATTCCGAAGTTTCTTTGCGAAATGTTGTAAAATGCGGATAATATAGCCTTGCGTTTTTCAGTCATTTTGTATTATACAATCTATCATTTTGCATCAGTTTGATCATCTGATTATCAATTTCCCGTTTGTAATACAAAATGCCTGAAAAACGGCAAACTTCGCAAGGCTATATTATCCGCATTTTACAACATTTCGCAACGAAACGTCGGAATATTACTAATTTTGTGATGCTCTTTCAAGCTGTGATGAAATTGTCCAGACTTGTCTAGATCAAAATTTCACTCAAAAGGGGAAAGGTCTATTCCTGAACAAGAGACGTCGATGTGCTGTCTTCTTTTTCATGGAGTACAGACACAAACTATGACACCTTAAAGAGCAGCATATTTACAGTTTTTCTACAGACTTAACTTTTAGTTATTAACATTTACATGATAGGACGAACTTGTGGAGTTAGTTAAGAACGAACATAAAAGAATTGACGAGATGTCCGCAGCGGAAAATAAACATGAAGAAGGAAAAGAGGAATTGTCTCAAGTGAAAGATGACGTGGAAACACGAGATGATGGCAGCCGAGTGTCTGATGAAAAACTGAGTGAGCAGTGTGTTGAGACAGCGGTGAGCTCTGAAGAAAAGAAAGTTGATGGTGATGGTGGTGATGGTGGTGATGGTGGTGATGATGATGGTGATGATAGTGATGATGGTAGTAAGTCAGAACCAGTAACATGAAATATTTTGACTGGAAGGGTAATTTTATTTTAGAATGATGCTCTGAGATGGCGAAAATCTCTAATTTGATATTTATAATTCCTACACTGCACAATTTTCCCCTCTTTGCAACGCAAGCGTTGGTTTAAAATACGCAATGCAATCAATCTGAAAACGCACCGTGTAAAACTGTTTTTAGCCAAAGTAACTTAAATTAACAATCCTAAAATAAGTTTATAACGTTATAGAAAATAGCGCCCTTTTTATATAACTTTCAGTGTAATAAATATTGTAGATAAATAAGTAAGAATATTTAGAATTGTGGGTCAAGTATATCAAGGAATTTGCCTTAAAATAAAAACATTTGGGACGGAATTGGAGAATACAAACTAAACAATGTTAGCAACAGGAACGCAGTTTTTAGAACAAAATATATTAGGTGTGATGCAAAAATTTTATTGCTGAATATTGTATGTGAAATTTATCATTAATTAAGTAGTGTTACAGTGTGTTGATAATTGTATAATTAAATAAATTGGTTAATTAGTTTGGCAACCAGCATGTGGGTAATTACATTAATTAATTACAGTAAGTATGGTAAATTGTATGTATATTTATTTAATTAGTTTGGCAGCCAGTTAAGCCACTTCAGGAATTCTGGGAATGATATCTTGCCATCGCCATCTGTATCGAGAGATTTTAAAGCCTCTGGAATTTTGTCCTTTGGGCAGTTAATGGCAATCATTAGCTGTGTGAATTCATCCTTTTCTATCGATCCATTTCCATCTGCATCGAATTTTTTGAACATGTCAACAGCTTTTTTTAATCGAAAAAACCTGGAAACAAAGAAATGGTGCATTAAGTAATGTGAATGCTGGGTTCATGTGTACTAGACAGGGGGTATAGGGGTGTGGAAAGTTGCTGCACACCCCCCCCCCCCTGAGTGACCTGTCAATAAAATCTGCATGCTCATTTTGCTTCAGTTACCTATTTCTTAACAATTTGAATAACACAATGACCATGTCAAAACCACATTCATTTTTGACAAAAGTACCCATTTTGTCAGCAAAAGTAGGGCCTGCACCATCACCCCTCTGCCACGAATTCTGATACTCACAACAGCCCTGGCTAAGGACACAGAATAAAGATCAGTACCAGAAGGGCCACTCAGCGGTGCAACGTGTCACCATTTTTCTATGCAAAAGTATGCAATTGACTGGCCAGGAAGATGGCGGCCAGCCAATACAGCGCGTTTATTGGCCAGAAAATGTAATCGACTGGCTAGGAAGATGGCGGCCAGGGGGCCCTTCTGTGTGCCTTATTCTGTGCTAAGGAGCTGCATTTTAGAACATAGTTGTTACCAGGAACCTAGTTAACCAACACTTTTGGTAGAAAACACTTTCAGAGCCCTCTGTACCCTGGTCCTTATGTAGCAGTGGTTTATTATGAATGATATGAGAATAACACCCTGGATTTTAGCCATTTGTTCTTATATCAACTACATCAGTGTTTACATTTACACATAATTGGATTAAGTATAATGTTGGGATAAGTTATTAATTAACTTCAATGTCAAAATTTGTACCTAAAAAGATAGATAGTTCAGATTTTTGATACATAAATGACCATAAGTAAAAATACTATCATCCAATATTAATCATATTTACATGTTAGCCATGTAGGAAACTTTTACCTGCTTTTATCATTGACGTTCTTAAATTTCTCCCCGCTTGTAAGCCATTGATGTAATTCTTCAAAGCTAACAGTCTGACTGCCATCTTTATCTAGCAACATACTGTAGGCTTCGGCCTGGTCTTTTGTCATGCCTAAATCACCTTGAAATAGTTGTTTTAATTCCTTTTGATTGAGTACACCACTGCCGTCTGCATCATATTTCATAAATAGACTTCGAAGGACAACTTTAGGTACATTTTTGTCGAAGTAACTGGTTGAAACGTTCATTGGAGCTGCCATATTTGAATATTTGAAAAAGAAGATAAAAGTACAAAGAAAAGGAAAGTATTTGGTAGTTGACAAGTATATTTTGGCATGCAATGTTGTGTTGCAATGTAAACGGAAGTGAACTGAAGCAGATGGGGGGTTTTACGTGTATAATCCAAATATGTAAAGTATACAAAGCCTTATAAAGTATAATAAGGAGGAAAACAATTAAAAGAGTAAGACTCCAATATAATTTATGGCCATATTTGTAGACAGGCATGGACTGGTTATTTACGAACGAGGATATAAATTTAAGGAAGAAAAATTCTGTGTGGGATATTTTTTAATGTTTTATCGGCAATATTTATAGATGGAGAGAATTAATAGTCAAGAAGAGATGGGGTGAAGGGAAAATGGATGCAAGGTTAAGAACAAAGAGATGAAGGAATGAAAGACGAAGCAAGAAAAACGAAATAAAGCAAATTAGGGTGAGGAACTCATATGGGTTGAAGAAATGAAATATAGAAATTATTATAACGAAATATAGAAATGATGAAATTAAATTTTCATGAAAGGGAATCGAGACGTTGAGTAACTAAAGGATAAATGATGAAAGAGCAAGAAAACAGAAAATGATGATAGAAGGAAAGATGTGGCCTCCTTCGCAGTTTGCAGACATCTCTCAGTCAAGGGTTAATTAATAGAGGTGATAAAAAATCAGATTTTTTTAGCTTTTTTTTTAACCCTAACCGAGTGCAATATGGCAGTTGTCTGCGGAACAGCTAGGAAAGACGGCAACCGCGCTAGGAGAAGATGGAGAATGAAATACGGAAGAATTTTCACAGCTATATAATAATGGGTGCGGGGGATGAGCTTATCAAATATGAAAATCACATGAAAATTATAATGAATTGAAATTTGATCTGGTTACCGTGGACACGAAACGCACGTCGGAAGAAATATGTCAGGAATAACAACATTCAAAGTACTCTCTTGAGATGTATTTTATTATCAGTGTTTCAGTCAATATTTCTCAAGACATCTGGGTCTTGTTTGAAAATGAGTGATGTTGCTTTGCTTTTGGCAAAATGGCGTGAAAGTTTAACGAGAGGGAAAGATTTTGATACTTGGGGACAATTTGTCGAAGCCAGTGAGGAATATAGTAGGTCTGTTTTGAATGCTCAATTTGGAAAATGAAATGTTTTATTTATACTTTGTCTCAATACGTTTGTGGCTTGTAGTAAAACAACGGAGCAAGTACTTGTTACTCTCATTTAGTAATGTGTTAAAGGAATGTTAAGCATGATTTAATATTCGTATTTATCGGATTTATTAATGCTTAAATCAAACATGCATGTCAGCATGTGTAACTATACAATTGTCAGGTTTTAGGCATCCATTTATTGAAGATTCGAATACAATTGCAGAATGTTGCAATTAGAAGCTAAGCTAAGGGGAATCGTTTTTACTTAATGTTTCAATTTATATATTAAAAACATTGAGGGAACCGGCTGTTATTTGCAACAAACGCAAAAAATGTGTAAAATTGTAGTGAATAACATGTTGTACAGCATTACAACGCGAGATGCAAAGGATTGAAGGGGGAGGGGGGGAAGTCTCCAGGATTGGTCTGTGTATGACTGGACCAGCATGTTTGAGGTCACTAATTCATACATATCGGGTTACTTTTACATGTTTTTTTAATATTTTTAGATTGTCTCGACAAATTTTGAAGCAACTAGCAACAGAACACAATTTTTTCACTGGAGAACAAAAGGTATCATGAAATTGATATCAATATATTAGTTAAATATTAGTTTGCACAATGTTTGTTAAATTTGCAGCTCTGGTTGTTTTGCAGAAAATACTTGGTAAGATAGCTGCCTGTCTTCATTCACGAAGTAGATTTTTCCAGGTGAGACAATACTAAACAGGTGTGGTCCAGCCTGGGACAGAGTTAATGGTTTGCCGACTTATGGGTTTTTTGGGGATATTCTGATTTGGTGACCTCTGATGCAGATGTATCTAAAGCACCTGCAAATGGGGCTAGACTCTAAGTCTCCATAGTCGGTCATTCCAGAAAACATCCATACCTGCCCCACAGAGGAAATTGAAAGTTAACCCACCCTTCAATCTCCTAATACACTTACTATTATCAGAAAATATTTTTTCTCCCCTCCCCCTCCAGATGGCCGAAATTTCTTATGTGGGCGGAGTGTGTATCTTTCTGGCATGACCCATTATGAACAACTTCTCAAATATATCTGCTTGCTTTAACCTCAACCTCATTAGATTTTTAATTATTTTTGTGTTCAGAATTTGCAAGATGAAGAAATCTCCCTTGATGATATCAGACAACTTTGTTTGGGTAATTATAAATACATACATTTACTAACATTCATTCGTTTTATCACATCATGTCAATTCCTGTTTTAATCAGTTCTAGGAAATATTTTGTCAGAGAAAACTGAGGATTTTCCAATTACAGTACCAGAGCTAGCAGAGAAAATGTGAGTGATCAGATTGGTTCATATTTATTGTAAAGATATTTTATTATACAAAATGTAATGGTACCATCAATTTAACTTATCCAATTAAATTTTTAGCTTTCAAACAAACAATAATAGTTTCATTTTAGAAGAAGTTCCCAATGATCAAGAGGACACAAAAGGTAGAAATTAAAATATTTAATATATTCTTACAAATTGACTCATCTGCATGTGGTTGATGAATTGAAAAATGTTTAATTTAGATTATGGTTCACTCCTACCCAGAATATCACACGAAGCAGACTGTCACAGATTGACGATAAAAATCGTTAAAATTGGATTAAAGGATCCTTCTGAGTTCATTAATCCATTTATAACTGTTTCAGTGAAAGGTTCGTTTTGTAGCTAATTACAGTATTTTTGTAACTAATTAGAATATCTTGTAACTAATTATTTTAATTATTGTACATGTACATATATTCCAACCACTCTTTAAGTTAAAAGTTTACAGTTTGTACAAATCTTTATCATAATTCACACACAATCTTGTGTTTTTCTTATTAACATTATCATTTTGGGCTTCTAATGTGTGATTGTTTCTAATTTCCAATTAGCTCTGGATGGTGTAGATATTACCACTTCACAAAACACACCAACTGCAAAAACAAAAGAAAATAGAGATATTCATTTTGATTGTAATGTTGAACTGCAAACGACAATAGAAAAATTACCACAAGGTATGTATCATTCTCATCTGACATGTAATTTTTCCCTAGCAAGTTAAAGGTTTTTTACTAATCAATAAATATTCAATGAACTGCTTTAAGAACAATGTATTCAGTGCACAGAAGTATCAATTAGCTGTAATAAGAAAGTGAAAGTATCAAATTATTCTTTTGCAGGAACAGCAATATTTTTTGAATTTAAACATTTTAAGCCAAAGAGAAAACAAATCAGTACCAAGTGCTGGACATTTATGGAAATGGATGAAATAAAAGCTGGTCCAGCATGCCTAGAATTGTAAGTGGTCCTTTAAATCTTCATTGTGAGGGACTTTGTATTGAGAATGTTTAATTTTTCCAGGTATAAAAAGCCAACCAATTATTGTCGAAAGAAATTGAGTCTTCTGACGGTGAAACCTCTTTATCTACACGTCTTTCTCATTATCCACGACGATGCTGAATGAAATACATCTGGCCAAGAAACCGGTATAAAAGTCAGGAATTACTCGGATCAGTCATAATTCAATAGTTCTTTTGCATTGTGGAAACAACGCACCAATAGTGATTAATGTTAAGCGTAGCAGAGAGGAATTATAAATAATACTTTTATTCCTTTGAAAATTAAATTTGAATACCTACAACAGTGCACTGCAAAATATCTCGGAATATTTTGTCTCAACAACTTAGTAAAATATTATGCACCCACTAAACTTTCAAATTTACTCAAGATTTACTTTACTCAATAACTGGGAATATAAATGAGTATTGTTGCTTATAAATTTTAGTAATTTTAGTTTTCGAGTCAAAACTTTCTGCAGTGTACGTGGCTATTGAATGACGCTTGTTTAATTATTATATTTTACAATACGATAAATTTTAAACAAAAAAATTAATTTATTTATGTACAATATTACCAGAATACCAGTGATACCTTATAATGTATTAAAGTTGTATTCTTTTTGTCCCAGCTTATGGGTGGTGTATTGGATTTTATCAGACATTTAATACGATATCATGATTATCAGAATTCAAGATTTTCACATGTGAAATCGATCCCTTCAAAAGGGCCGTCAGGAATTTCATTTGCAACTGCTTCATTCTCAAAGAGGACACACACACTGCTCTCAATGCTTGGCGAGTGCTTCTCTAATATAGACGGGATAACCTTGGTAGACAACGTTTCCTTCTCTTTAACTTGACAGTTCCATGCATTAACTAAATCTTTCATTGTCTCTGCAATATGCTCCCAGGAATCTATCTTTATTTCATAATTATGTCGTGTATAAAGTTTTCTAGTTTGAACATCTTTGAGAGATGCTTGTATGTCATTAGGGAGTTGGGTTTCCTTTGCAATTTCACACTCGCTTGCATTCTCAAGGAGAGAGTTTGCCTTGTCTTTTAAAACCTCCAGTTCATGAACATTTAACTGGATTAAATTCTCATCCAAAAGAGTCATTTGAGTCTTTGACCACCGTTCTAAATCATTTAACACACTTTCTAACTTTTCATCAAGCATTTTCTTCACTTCGCATTGAATAGAATTAAAAATGGACGTAATATGATCTCGCATTTTGTCAAATTTCGCTGCGAGTTTCTCTTTTTTTACCTCGACCTCTTCCCGAAGACTGTAACAGTCTCGTATCAAACTTTCAGCGCACTTCAGTTGATATTTCAGACTCGTTTTCTGATGATCACAAAATCCTGACAACCTCGAGAAAGAATGTGTCTTGTGCTGCCCATAAATCGCACAATGTAAGCAAATTGCTTCAGCATCGTCGTGGCAAAACATATCAAGCACATAGTCCGGATGATGTGGACAAATGTCTTTCTGCTTTTCCAACACGTCTTCAATGAGGTCAAGATAGCTGTAGTTCTTGGGCAGAGTACTGCTGCGTGTGTTCAACACCGTCTTGTTCTTGCATCGCGGACAAGAGACGCTGTAATCTGGTTGGAAATATCGTCCTACGCTGCAATTTTTATCTCTTTTAATTCTCTTTAGTTTCTCAATGCAACCCTCGCAGAACGTATGACCACATGACAGCACCCTCGGTACACAACCTTCATTATGTGTGAATTGCTCAGCACACACTGATCTAATAAGAACATTGTTCCTGATTTCACCTCTCTTGACTGCGAATGGGATTTCACAGGGGATATAAATTTCCTTTTCCTTGCTCATTTTCCATACACCGATACACGAACGTACAGACGGAGATATTTGGTAAACATCAATGGTAAACATTGTTCTGAATTCGAAATGCGCATGCGTTTGCCTTCCAATATGCACGCATAAATTAGCTCCATGACATATATCTAGCCTGCATAGCAGCCTGTTTTTTGGGGGAGGACTTGCGGGCGGGAAAATTAGGGGGCGGCTGTACAAATGTCAATATCAGGTGTCAATATGTTCACATGTATTCTTAAAACGTATTTAACGTATTACAATATAATATTTTTTGCATTCGAATCTGGAAACAATGCAAGCACCTCACCAATAATTATTTATTTGTTTGAAAATTAAATTTCCATACCTACAAAAGTGGACCCTGCAAAAAATCTCTGAGTATTTTGTCCCAAAAACTTGAGTAAAATAATGCACCCACAATGACTCGATATTTTGGAGTACGTTTGTTGAGTAAAGATTTATTTTATTCCAAAAATGAGTAAATTTGCTTATCTTGAAAGGTCTGTGCCAGTGTAGGTAGTGGCAATAATAAGAAACTGCTTCGGATGGATAGGGATACAACTACCTGAAAAATACAACGATCTCCTTGTGTTTTCAGGTAGTTGTTCCCTATCAATCCAAAGCTTTCTTAAATTTGCTTATGAAGTTATGTATTTAAGTAATTTTACTCAAGTCAAGTTTTTGAGTCAAATTTTTTTGCAGTAGGGACCTTAAGCATGCACGACGGTAACACGACGACGACAGCCAAAACAAAATTCTTTAAATAAATCATTGCGAAGAAGTGTTGTTATGTTTTGTCCACTGCATGTATATATGAATTGAGTTCAGTTGGAAGAAATTAAAACAAAGGCTTTATGGTTAAAAACGCTTCTGCTGAGCAAATTTGTAGTTTCACTTGTCGCGTCTTGACATGTTTGCGTTGTACACGAGACGTGAAAATCTCTGTTTTGCCGTTGTAAAAAGCCCTAACACCACGTCTCTAACTCCCGTGGGGCTTTTAATTATTCATTTCTTTTGTACGAGATCAGGAATATCATTGTGTGAATAGCCGTCGTCGTCGCGTTACCGTCCTGTCTGCTTAAGGTCCCTAATGATCGGATTGAATGACGCTTGATTACTGTAATTATTATACTGTATGATATGATAAATTTAAAACAAAAAAATAATATATTTATGTACAATATTGCCAGTGATACCGTCCTTGTACCTTACAGTTGTATTCTTTAATATATTTATGTACAATCAACAATAATTAATATATTTATGTACAATATTGCCAGTGATACTTTATACCTTACAGTTGTATTCTTTTTGTCCCAGTTTATGGGTATTGTAACATCACAGAATCTAGGATTTTATTGTTTATAACTAGTTAACACGATATCATCAGAATTCCGGATTTTCACATGTAAAATCGATCCCTTCAAAAGGGCAGTCAGGAATTTCATTTGCAACTGCTTCATTCTCACTAAAGAGGGCACACACACTGCTCTCAATGCTTGGAGAGTGCTTCTCTAATATAGACGGGATAACCTCGGTAGACAACGTTTCCTTCTCTTTAACTTGACAGTTCCATGCATTAACTAAATCTTTCATTGTCTCTAGAATATGCTCCCAGGAATCTATCTTTAATTCATAATTATGCCCTGTATAAAGTTTTCTAGTTTGAACGTCTTCGAGAGATGCTTGTATGTCATTAGGGAGTTGGGTTTCTTTCGCAATTTCACACTCGCTTGCATTCTCAAGGAGAGAGTTTGCCTTGTCTTTTAAAACCTCCAGTTCATGAACATTTAACTGGATTAAATTCTCATCCAAAAGAGTCATTTGAGTCTTTGACCACCGTTCTAAAGCATTTAACACACTTTCTAACTTTTCATCAAGCGTTTTCTTCACTTCACATTTAATAGAATAAAGAATGGACGTGATATGATCTCGCATTTTGTCAAATTTCGCTGCGAGTTTCTCTTTTTTTGCCTCGACCTCTTCCCGAAGACTATTACAGTCTCGTATCAAACTTTCAGCGCAGTTCAGTTGATATTTCAGACTCGTTTTCTGATGATCACAAAATTCTGACAACCTCGAGAAAGAATGTGTCTTGTGCTGCCCATAAATCGCACAATTTAAGCAAATTGCTTCAGCATCGTCGTGGCAAAACATATCAAGCACATAGTCTGGGTGGTGTGGACAAATGTCTTTCTGCTTTTCCAACACGTCTTCAATGAGGTCAAGATAGCTGTAGTTCTTGGGCAGAGTACTGCTGCATTTGTTCAACACCGTCTCGTTCATGCATCGCGGACAAGAAACGCTGTAATCAAATGTGACAAGTCGTCTGCCATGGTCTTGTTTATGTCTTTTAATTGTCTTTAGTTTCTCTATGCAACTCTCGCAAAACGTGTGACCGCATGGTAGTACTCTCGGTACATAACCTTCATTATGTGTGAATTGCTCAGCACACACTTCACAGGAGATAATCTGGTTTGTTTTCTCGCTCATTCTTCGCAGCCAAGAACGTATAGTACTGTAGAGCTGTTTAAAATAACTTGATCAAAATGAATTAGCCACACCTAGATTTATGAGGAGGTTAAGATGGATTTGATAGCACCAATAACACTTAGCATAACAACAGTGCATCAGTCACGATCCAGTGATCGTAATGGTTCATTGCTTTTTCATTGTTTGGAAAACCCCACTGTTCTCCATGCTATCATAGTTAATATACTGGGGTCGGTTGTACGAAGGCCGGATAGCACTATCCACCGGATAGTGATTTTTTTCAAGCTTTGTTAAATCAGTCGTTGATTGGTATAACTCGTATTAAAGTTTAGTATTTATAAGTTAAATGTTTTTTATACTTCTTGTGTCGTCTATATCCGTAGTTTCACAGTTTTTCAAGCATTTTACAAAGCTTGAAAAAATCACTATCCGGTGGATAGCGCTATCCGCCCTTCGTACAAATCCCACCAAGTCAAAGGCCCTTTGAAGCATGACTGCTAAAGTCAAAACATTGAGTACTGGATGGCATGGATGACAATGAAGAGCACTGCATCGTGACAGAATGGAACGATTGCTATATTTTAAGTGTTATGCAAAGGACATTTTAAACGTATTTATGCAATATACGCATATTAAGACGTCGCATATTAATTTTACGCCTGTATTCTAAAAGCTCACCGACTCAAAGAGAGGATCGAGGTTCAATCTGAGTGTCAGTGTTGTTTTTGAATAGCTGACGGGTTAGTCTCGTGCCTTACTATGTGACTACTCACCCTCCAGCTATTCAAAAACAGCATTGACACTCAAGGGAAGCTCAGATTGAACCTCCACTCTTTGAGTGTGAGTGAGCTTTTAGAATACAGGCACGATACAGGCGTTAGTTCTCCAGACTCAATAGCCTACAACAAAAATTGATTTATAATATCAGTTGGTCGTACAAGTAAAGATAAAGTTTCGTTCCTTAATTCATGCACGTCTGTAACTCGTCTATAACCCGCTTCTTTCATGACAACCTTGCAGTTCTCCTCAACTATGCGGACTGCATTCATTGAAATATTCTTTCGCCAAAAATGAGCAGTTCTTAATGCGTTTCTTTTCGTAGTCCTGAAGGGTTCGAGTGTGTCTATACTACCAGACCACCTTGTATTCTCTACAAGCCATTTTTCTAAATTGTCTGTCAAGTCTAAGCCTGTAGTTAGGAAAATATTTGTTACAACTGGGAAAACGTTTGCAACAAGATCCTCATAACGTAATATCATGTAGTTCCTAGAAATTGTTGAAGTTGTAACAAATTGTAAGTCCTCACTCATGCGATTGCAAAATTCCTGGATTTTCAAAGTTCCAGTTTTAGAAATCCAGCCAAGACGTAAACGCGAAGCGATAATTGCACGAGGATCGCGTAGCAAATGAATTATTTTGAGATTTGTTCTGTTCGAAGCCCTGCTCAATATTACTGATAGTTTCATACGATGTGATAACACTTTCACAGTCACTTGTTTATGGTTTCGACAAACTAAACTTGTCTGCTTTGCCTCCAAACGGTTTTGGCATATGGTTTTCTCTTTTTGTCCATTCCAACTTTTCAGCTTGTCTTGGCATAGTGGTTGTGTAGACATCGCTTTGCTTGAATCCCTAAAAAGTGTGGAGGCGTACCCCGGATTGGATATAAAATACAAGTAAAGCTCGTGATTTGTAAAGTTGCATTGAAAGCAGTCTTGTAGTAATGTCAGTGAGTCACGTTGTAGTTGTGAAGGGCTCATAATACGCAGTTTGTTGAGTATCGTGTAAATGTATAACGGTTCGTACAAGTAAAACACGTCTTCGTGTTGGTTGAAAATTTGCCCAAGGAAAGATGAGCCCGAGCGTGCCGGTGCGTAAATTAACACGTTCTGTCGTTCCGTTCCGTTCCACTTCACGCGTTGAGCGTGCAAAAACCAAAGCCATGTCAACAACAACAAAAACATGATGAAAATAACCACACAAATTCTTCTCTGGAAGTCATTTTTCGTTCGTTTGTAAAACACATCCGTATTGCTCGCCATCTTTCATGAGATGCTATGATCTGATCTAATCCCCTCGCAGCTAGGTTTTTAAATGATCTCAACCTTGTTTTTTTCTTAAGCTGTAAATATTTACTTAAAATGTTTTGTTTATAGATACATCTAATATGCTAGAAGTAGGCCGACATTAGTAGTTGAAAATATCTATGGGAAAAGGCGAAATAGAATGGTATTTCTACGTAGAAATGTAAAGCCTAAGTCCTAAAATTTATTGCTTGTTTGAATCAGCATACTGGTGCTTTAATGATTCGTCCACGCATGAAATAGAACGTCAATCAAGCGTTGCGTCTCCTATGGTTTTCAATGCTTTCATGCACTCAGATTCAAAACAGTAAATGATTCGTGTTTCCCACTTCAAAAATGGCCTCTAGACCGTTAATTACAACATTTGTGACGTCACACGATTTGCGCGTTTAATTAATCAATCAGTACAATTTGCAGACTAATTAGAACAATTGCGTGAGAATTTGGATCGTTTTCAAAATGTTTGGCACAAGGTCACCAGGGAAAGTTTACAATTTTGTTCATACTGATGAGATCTGGTAAATAATTTCTCCAAGGCGTTTTTTCAAATACGTATTTTATCTTGAAACAAATGTTCGTGTGTTTTGATGTTTGCAATTTTTCTTGTGTTTTATTATCCAGGAAAGATCATGTTATTCGTGAGTTACAGTCACAAAAGAAGTGGACAGAACAATGGGGATATTTGTTTGATGAATACCAAAAGGTAAAAAATATATTTATAGTGTCGAACTCATTGCGGCTACACACGTAAAAACGCAGTTGTTACAAATCTGTTCACAAGCTGTCGCAATACTTGTTCCCAGTTGTTGAAACAAATTTGCAACAAGCTGTTAACAACTTGTAACAAGTTTGATTGCATTATCAGACTTGTTACAAGGTTGTCCTAACAAGTCTGACACACTCATGATATAACAAGAATGTTACAAGGATGACGACACAAGGTTGTAACAATATTGTTATATCATGACTGTATCGGACTTGTTAGAACAAACTTGCAACAAGTCTGATAATACCAACAAGGTTGTTACAACTGTTAACAAGTTGTTCCATACTTGTTGACAACTTGAAGAAATAGTTCATTTTATAACTCGCCTGCATGCCAGATGATTTTGATACGCGGAAAAGTACTGGCACTAGTTGTCAAATAGAAATCCATTTTATGATTGAAACAACTGAATATCTCCTGTAATATAGTTTATTTCGATTTCATATTTTTGTCAGAGCTATAGTTCTCATAACCAAACATAATTACAAAATTTCAACTAGTTTCATAAAAAATAACGAAAGATATAATTGACTGAATACATCAAAATGGTTTCTATTAGGACAACCCTTTCTGAGCGCTGATTGGCTAAAATACGAACACGAGATCACCTGGTGTGCATGGTCGTGTTGATGGGTAACTCCTATTCTCCGCTTCGCACCATATCTGCGTAATTCTTGTACACTGCAATTAATTTCGAATTTCATTTTTAGCTTCAAGAAAACCTGTTAAACATAGGAAGTGAACTCGAAGACGAACTTGAAGCGAAACTCGCATTAGAACTGGAACAAAACATGGAACAAAACTTGGACGAGAATCTGGAGTGCAGTTTATTAAAACAGGACGAGTGTGAAGGCAACGCCCTGGCTGAAGGTTTGGCAGATTGTACGGTGAAAAAGGACATCACAAGTCACATAGCAAGACTACAGGAGAATGCCAAAGGAAAAAATGATATTTTGAAATTGTTAAAATGGCCTTGTGAAGGAATGATTTAAAAAAAGAAACAATCTTTGGAAAAGAGAAGGGTGTTTTTGGAAAACAAATACTGTACGCAGAGGATGAGTTGTATTAGAAATGTAACGCATTTTCTTTTCTTTTTAGCCCAAGCTTGTCAACAAACTTTTATTTTTGGACCTAACTAACAATATGTGCCGCGAGAAGACTTAATAAAAAGAAAATTAATACAACGAGTAAAACAAATTATTACATTTATCACTAAATTTTAAATATTTATAGTATTTAGAATATTTTAACGATTACCAATAACAATTCTAAGCATTTCTAGTAACAACGTACTAACGTTAAAACGTCTGCTACTGTTTGTATAGGAAGATTAAGTAGACTTATCTGTGAAGCTGACAAATGGTGGTCAAATGTTTTATATAACCAACTTCTGGTTATGAATATGACATGTATATAAAGTTGGATCTATTTGCTTGCCCAATGAGCTGGGGTAAAGACGTGAAGTCAGCTAGCTATGTGAAGCTGTAGGGATGAGCATATCATCTCTCTTTACATAACTCAATCTTTCCTAATCTTATGGTGATGTTCCTCTATCTACAAAGACAGGTACCGCTGTTTTCTTTGGTCGACCACGCGCTCTTCTTGCCGGCCTTTCATCGTTCTCAGATTTCTCCTGTACAGTCTTCCTTGCTCTTCCTTTGGCAACACGTTTGTCAGAAGACGACTCCTGGGAATCTGTTTCTTCCGCCAATTGTTGCACTGCCTTGGATTTCGATGTCCCACCACGTGGCTTGGCAGGTTTTCTGGGGCTGACAGCAGCTCTCTTGTTGGAGGTTGATTGTTTCACGGGACTTGCTGCTCTCTTATTTGATGTTGAAGGTTTAGCAGGACTGGCTGGTTCTTTCGTTGAACACTGGGATTCAGGTTTTCGACTCACTGGGTTTCTTCTTGATGGTTTCAATGGAGAGGCCTTGTCTTCACTTTCTTCCTAAAATAAATGAAAATATTCTCACATATCTAAATCATACTCTACCTTTGATGTATAAGTGTTCTAGTGTTGCGTGACGCGTCAGACAAAACACTATAAACTTGTGACAATGTCAACTTGTTTATAGTAAAAGCCATTCAGAAACTGGTGAAGATTTTGGCAATTTGGGTGTTTTGCAGACCACATACACATGAGGTACATATACGCAGTTGTAGTGGAAAAGATTTTGGCTTCCTATAAACTTTGAGCTTTACTTTCAATTTTTTGAAGGTTTATAAAAACATGAAGGTTTAGTTTACTTTAAATCACTACAAGTATTTTTTTAGAAAAAAAACGGAATGTACAAGTACAAATAGAGCATATTATGTGTAATTTTAACTTCCATCTTCCTTGTGCGTAGACAGTGTAGTTTATTAGATCTATCACAGCATCTTTCCAGAGATATGGGAAATGCAGCATCAAAAATAATGTGAAAAGATTTTCCATTTACCGAATCATTTAGACAATCTTCCATTGCATCATCATTGGAGGAACTTGCACCATCAGCAGTTTTAAACTTCACTGTTTGACCATCATCTGTGAATTTTCTTTTGCGAAGTCCATCTTGAAATATCTTTCTTAACTTGTTGTAATCAGGTATTTCAACATACTTCAGTGTTGCAATGTATTTGAAATATTGTTCCAACTCATCTGAAATCAAACCACATGATCAATATGTTACATGATGAATATCAGTTTCAACTAACATTGTCAATGAATGTTATGAGTTATTAATTACCAGCACGCTGATCTTTTAAACATTTCTTCAGTGACTGTGGTATGTTTTCCATCAACCTATTGAAACAACAAAATATTCAAATGACTCACTGGCGAAGCCACTGATTATCTGACTGTCACCAACTGATTGACTGATCTACTAACCTGATCTGAATGGATTAAGATACCAACTCTACAGAAATTATTATATGTTTAATATCTGTTATTATATGTTTACCTTATTTTTGAATTCATGACATAATCTTTATCAGCCAAGTTGTCTTCCCAAGGCAGTTTGCTACATAACCACTGTAACATGACGTAACCTAGAATCTCGAGATCTGTTCTACGTGACGGGGCCACTCCCTTATGTGCATCACAACTTGTGAATTCAATAGTTCCATCATGTCGTCTCTTTGGGTCCTCTTTGTATTCTTTATGAGTGCCGTCTGCATTGAAACGATATGCAAGACCATAGTCCACCAGGAACACCTGCGAGAGAATGTATTGGGTCATTCCAGAAAACATCCATACCTCCCCCACAGAGGAAATTGGAAGTTAACCCTCCTCCCCCCTCCCCCCCCTTCAGATGTCCTAATTATTAGAAACAATTTTTCTCAACGAAATTTCCTCCTTGGGGAGTGTGGATCTTTTGTGGAACAACCCATTGTAAGAGAGTGTAAAGGTGTCATATCAGAATAAGGGGATCAGCTGGCAGTTACCAGAGTTACCATGTATAGTCTGCTGTGCATACCTTATCTTTCCTGTTAGTTTTATAACCCATCATTAAGTTAGAGCCTTTGATATCTGCATGGACATAGCCTTGTGCATGAATATACTCTAAGATGTCAATCTGTATAAAAAGTATGAATCATTAGAATGATTGTAAGAATCTGTAGTAATTAAGGCAATGAACTATAACTGTACTTCAAAATTACATATTGCAAAATTGGATTACAGTACGTAACCATGTACATCTCAAACTTACAATACGAATCCCCAAAGTTAAGACAGTCTGGATATGGAAACGTTTGCCACATTTAGCGAAGATTTGGTCAACATCATCAGCAAATCTTTCCATAATCATGAATCTATATTTTGAGCCACCATTCTCATGCCCGCCTGAACCAATATATGCAGGCACACCCAGGAACTTCAGCTTGTGAGAAGATACCCACTTGTTAACTGCAATGAGAAAACATTAAGATGGGGCATTGGAAAGTCATTAACATCAGGGGGGGGGGGGGTCCTGATATTTTGACCACATTTTGGCAAAAGTGAATGATAAAAGGAATAAGGATATATTGCTGTACTTGTTTCTTCCTTGGCAACTCGCTGATAGAAAGCAAGTTCTCCAAAAAGTGGTCCATTTGAGTGTGGTTCCTTGACATAAAGAACATGTAATTATTAGACTGTTAGAACCATGTGGTATTCTACACTATAAAGCTGCCGTCTGTCTCAACTATCTGAAAAGCAACACTTCAACATATCGAGCAAAGACCTTCTGTCAGGACGATACAACTTGTCTGCAGATACATATTTATTGCCTCGTCCGCAGACATCTTGGTGGCTGCGAACATGTGAAAAAAAGGTGGAATCATGCAGTACTTGACAGAGAAAGATGGGGGTAACAGAGGATCATGAGGGATAATTGTGCAGGAAATAAAATCTCTGAACTCTCTGAAATTCTAACTCCACACACATTGTGTAACTTCTGCCAAGTGTATAAATTCTGCCGTTTTTGCCACCAAGTTGGCTGCATGATACATTTAGTCCAACTTACAACTTTGGCAACATAGGTTGCTTTGTCATTGACAGCCTTGTCTGTATCAGAAGACGCTACATAACAGAGAAATTTAAACGTAATTTAAGCATGATAGGTGTGTTAAATCCCCATGGGTTGGGTTGGGTCCCCCCCTTTTAAAATGATAAACTCCTAACCAGTACAACCCCATACTAAATATATATTTTTATATTACGTACAAAACCCTCACCATAATACAAGGCACCAAAGCCTCCCCAACCAATAAGATCTCCTAAACGCCATTGCTTCTTCACCAAATCAACCAAAGTTTCGCCAGGTTTGAAATCTGGCATTCCTTTCGGTTTTCGAGGTTTTTTAACCGCGACCTTTGTAGTTTTCCCCTCATTTGCCGGGGCCTTTCTTTTACCACGCTTTCCAGCAGTCGTACTCATTGTAAAACTTAAAATAACTGGGGAAAATTTGCTAAAATTAAATGAAATTTAGTTGTTGCTCGTTGAATGTTTTGATTCACTAATTTGGTTTTTTGTTATGAAAATTTTCCCGCCAAGCTGCCTGCATGCCCGGAAAATGGTGGAAATTTTTTAAAATTTATCAAATATATTTTGATGGAGCAATGAAGAGAATGAGAAAGGAAACTCGTGGTCTTGCTTTCGACTTAAATTCCGTCACGTTTCGTTTTAGAAACGTGAATATTGACTTATTTCTGTTTATAATTATTCGAAATGCAAATTAGGCGAAAGTAAGGCGGACACCCTTTCCCTTGTTCTCAGTCTATTTAAAAATATTTCGCGCGAAGCTTTGCCCAAATCGAACGAGATTGAAATCGAAGCGAAAGTATATTTTGGTAATTTTGCTCAAGAATTTGAAGGTTTTCCATCTACTTTGGGTAAGCTAAACTTGTTTTCGTGTAATACAGTACCACTTTGTTTCATTTGTACACCAATCGGCTATGTACAACTTAAAATATTTCGACTTTAGACGCTGTAAAATTCACCTTTCACAGGGGGTAAAATTTAGTTTGCAAGATGTCTTCAACTTCACAAAAGCATCGAGATTTCGTAAGCGAGCCGATGGGCGAAAAGGAAGTGAGCGAGCTGGCTGGAATAGGTAAAGTTCTAGGTCAGAAGTTGGTGGATGCTGGTTTTGATAAAGCTTATGTTGTCCTGGGCCAATTTTTGGTGCTGCGCAAGGATGAAGAAATGTTTTTAGACTGGATTAAAACTACAGTCGGAGCAAACTCGAAACAAGGAGGAGACTGTTATAATTGTTTAAAAGAATGGTGTGATGCTTTCCTTTGAACGAAATCTCTTTATTTTATAGCTTAGATTTACTATAAACATTAAAAAAATTAGTTAAACTTTTTATATTAATTTAACTTTGATATTTAGTTTATAATAAGTTTATATGTGCTTATAAACTTTGTTACAATATAATTACAAATACATGGCTTGAAAACAAACTAGAAAATTTGTAAAATATTCGCATTGAGTCAGTTCTTGAAACAATTCAATCTCTTACTGCAGTTCTACACCTACATAAAAACTTGCACAAATTCAAGTGTATGTGGAAACCAGTTAATGGAAAGATTTTTATTGCAGGGCCCTTGACTGGACTTTTTTTTTGCTACACAACATTTACCCATTGTAACACCTGGATAAATGTAACATCAGATAGTGACAAGCTCTCTGAACAGTAAAATCATCTATCACCAGGGCCGTAGCTGGACCGATAATTGGGGGGAGGGGGGTGCAAATTCATATATTTGTGTTCTGCCCGACATTTCTTTTGAAAGTGATTGTTTTACGGTATGTGAACATGTATATACACAGCCCAATTATAGCTCTAGCTAATCTGCTTAGGTCTCTTCTTAACCTATTAAGGCGAGACTTTTTTATTTATTGGTTTACGGATTTGACTTTAAAAATAACAGGTCAGAAAAATTTTTAAAAAAAACACCGAGTATAAATGAGAACCAAATTTAATAATCTTTATAAAATTTTTTAACGTTAAATTAACTTCGAAAAACGTGGCTAATCTCCATATTGATTGTCACAATGATAACATGAGCCAGCAGTACTTAGAGTCAAAGTTTACTTCATGTCAAAACCCCAAATTAATTTAAACTAAAATTGTAAAATTTTTGACATCCAAATTTATTTTTTCTATTTTTCACTTTCTGAATATTTACGGTCGGCGGATCCGTAAACCACTGAATAAAAAAAGTCTCGCCTAAGCTGCAATGTGCCTGAATGCAACCTTGTCAAGGCAGCTTGGATATTAGTTAACCCTTTAAGTGGTAATTTAAGTGGCAATGCACCCTGATGAGTCCTACTCTGTCCAACACCAAACACCTTTACTCTGTCTAACACCAAACAATTTTTCTCGTCAAGGGGAGAGTGCTGCTACTTGATGGGTTAATCGGTTAATATTTAGACATAACCACCAATAAAACAAAATTGCAAATAAATAAATATATTTGGGAGAATTGTATATGTTTAGTACAAACAACACATTACTGTTCCAATTTGCAAGAAAGTAATCTATTACAAAACCCTACACAAGTTACACTAGTTTACTAATATAATACAATAATTTACACAATTCCTTAGAGTAATATCATACAGTGTAACTATTTTATTTTTCTAAGTTTGAATTTTCCTTTCTGTAATTGTGCTATGTAAAGTTTGAATCTGTCCCCATGGGGCTTCTTGATCCACACCTAGAAAGGATACGAATCTTGCTTTAGAAATCTTCACATTTGTGAATTAACAAAGTACAGTGAGATCTCTGATTAATGAACATTGACAAGAGATGTTTCAGATATTAAAGAAATCTAGCATTGTCTGTTAATTAGAGTTGTCTAGATAGAATGTCCCTTAATCAGAGATTTGACTGTATATGTTAATGATATTAACTGCTTCAAAACTATTGGTTTTCTTACCTCCCCAGTGTCAATGCCAGTGATTGTAGCACTAGAAAAGAAATAGTAAGAGAAACAATGTATTATTAGACAAATGCACTTTTTCATCTCAAAGAATTATGTAGAAAGCATAAAGCAAGAGAAAGTATAGGTGACGTACTCCACTGGTGCTCCTCCTTTACTTTCAACCTTGACATGATTTCCTTTTACAAACCTAAAAACAATTTGATCAAACTGAATATCCACCTCATTCTGGCAAAATAATGAGACATAATATGTGAAACGGTACGCACCACTCTCCTTCATAAAACAGTTTTCCATCTTCATATTTTGCACTAAAAGGACATTTACTGTCTCCAAAAATATTTCCTATAACATAATGTCATTTTTTAAATAAATTATTTCTACGACATAATCAATGTGAAATTATGTTGCTTACTTGGCAATTCGTATCAGTTGTTGTATAATTAGTATTACAACTAGCTAATTATCTAAGTTTAACAAGTTAGTTAAGTGTCAATGTAGTGAATGTTATACCTCCTTGACTTCCACTGTGACCTGCAAACAACAACAAGATAGTAATTTATTGTGAGATGATTTAATAGGAAATATAATAAACAATAGCAATATAAAAACATGAAATGTTATCTCTTACTTTCAGATTTCCTTCTTGATAAAGCTCCTTTAGCCTAAAATTTTAAAAATGTATTCTTGGTAAATGACAATTTTGTGAAAAGTCTATTCTGATTCTCATGCTTACCCTTCTGATAGCTGCCCAGTCTTCGTAAATATCCATATCTCGAAGCATGTATACAATATATGGACGTATGTTATGTTAAAGAGAAGTACAAAACATTAATAGCACACCATGCATCCTACAGTACTTTATTATTTACTCAAACAAACAGCATACTATTTCCTTCACAAAGACGAAGGAACTGAAATGCAATTCAGCATGCACACTTAGGATCTCCACGTCATGTTGTAGTTAGTTAGTGCATGTATTCTCTCACTTATTGGGACCGGCCATGAAGTATCCATTGACTTGTTTTCTGTCTTGTTTAATTAATTAAGTGTATATATATATATATATAAATGTCTCGTGTATCATCAATATATCTATTGTGGCAAAATAAATAAATAAATAAACTGTGTTGAGTGGATTAATTAATCACACTATCTCCTGTGAACTCAGTCTACTTAGCTCTTGTCTACTTGGCACATAGCTCCCTTGTCAAGATAATTTTACTTGTCAAGTTGTTAAGCATTGATTGTTAAAGGATATCTGTGACAGTAACAGGTTTCTTTCGTTTATCACTCAAGAACCCATCTGATGACTTCTTGTGTTTCTTCACGCTATGTGATTCTAACCAAATATCTATATTAAAAATAAACAATAAACTTGGTAGAAAATCTTTTGTACCTCACCCTGCATAATCATTTAGATTTATAAGTGCATGTATACATAATATTATGTGTGATCTTTGTGGTGTTATGTTATAATCTCATTCTGCATTGTTTTATGTGCATGTTTCTGCCATTCGTCTGTTTATCCTACTTAATATGTCTATTCTATGTTATGTATTTTAGTCCGAATGTGATGTCAATTTTTGTTAACTTTGTAATGGGTCGTTCCAGAAAAGATCCATACTCCCCCCCACGGAGGAAATTTCTGCCGTCCGGAGGGGGAGGGGAGAAAAAATTGTTTCTGATAATAGTAATTAGGACATCCGAAGGGGGTAGGGGGGTTAACTTCCTATTTCCTCTGTGGGGGTGGTATGGATGTTTTCTGGAATGACCCAATATTATTGTAGGACAAGATTTCCCTAGCTAAGCCTGAGGCTTTTGGAAAAATTGCCCTTATTAATTAAATATTGTTTAAATCATCTAAATCATAATCATTGAGGCACAGTTAAGAAATTGTGAAATGCATTTTGTACCAGCACTGATGTCTGAATTATGTCGATCTTCCTCCAACTTTCTAATTTTCTCTTCCAAATCAACACGCATGATCTCCATAAGGGCACTCTTTTCACTCTGAGGAAACAGTTCATTTATTAATTTTAGTTGATTAATTTAGTTAATTATTCAACTATTCTAATAAGTCAATTCTTTCAGTTTTTTCCAAAAAATGTTTTAATTTGTTCTTATTCACCTCAAAGGATTGCGATGTAGCCAGACCTTCAGCTTTGTATTTATTCTCTACATTTTCTATCTAAAAAAATACACAAATTAATGAAAATATTTAATCAATTATACAAATAATTTTCACAATTTTAAAATAATGGCTATGATATTTCTATACTCACTTTACAATCTTTCAAGATGTCTAGAAGAAAACAAAATATGTGTGTAGTAAATATTTAAATCATCACAGGAATTATTAATTGCATGGGTGCTTGCATATAAAACTATAATTGCACACAATACCTGCAACTTCTTGTCGTACATTGCACATTTCTTCAAGCTTTAACAATGGATCCAAATACTCTTCTGCACTGTCTGAAAATACATTAGAATATGTTTTTGAC